CTTTACCATCTAAACCTCAGTTTGCAAAACCTTCATCTGTCCATACTCTTTCTGCATACCCACATGTTATCTATATCCCTTCTTTTTCCATACCCTCCACTTCTGAAACTATCAAAACACCTTATCTAGAAAATTATCTGAAACCTAAACCTAGGCTAGATGTTAGTACTTTATTTGCTGGGTTTAAAAAGGAATTAAACATGTGGCTGTCTACTGTCAAGAAGGAATGCATGTCCAATTTGAATCCTGATGATTCTGAGGCTATCTGGCAAATATTCAGATTCATATTTGACTTTGTAGCTTCCAATCTTCAAGAGATCTGCATTGACGATGCCAAGGTCAGACTTGCTGAGGCTGTGAGACAAACTCTTCTGATAGTCAGCAGAAACCCATTCTTGCTTCTAGAAAACACACCTACAAAGGATGTGTGTATTCCTTCTGAAGCATTGGTTGCTTCTGAGACTGCTGCAGTGGTTAGCTCTGAAGTAGTAGCTCCAGAAGTTTCTGCTCCTGCTTCTGAGAATCTAGACTCTGCTCAACCTGCTGACATGGTCATTCAAAATGCTTCTGCATCCTTGGTCGTCCATGATGCTTCTGCTTCTGCATCTGCTCCAGAATCATCTGAAGTGAAGAAGGAAGACGAAGATCTGCATGCTCAGATTGCTGAACTCAAGGCTAGCAACACAGGGATGAAGTCTTGGATGGTTAAACAAGAGGAAACAACTAACGAAATCAAGACATGGATGGAAAAACAAGACGAATCCACATCTGAGATAACGAATCTTCTAAGGATGCTGGCTTCTCGTCCTTATTAGTTTTTCTATGTTGTTTGTGCACTTGTTTTATCTGTCTATTTGTTTGTTTGTTTGTCTTGAATATTATCTATCAATGCATCTGGCTGTTATGCTTTTCCGAATGAATGTTATGTTCTTCTGATTGAATTTATTTTATGCCTTATTTTTCTTCTGTTATTTTTTCTGTCTTAAAGTTCTTCTTAAAAGATTTTCTTTTTGATATGACAAAAAGGGGGAGAAAATGGTAATTTTGATAATGCACATAAACAGTTACCAAAGGCAACTCATACATGATAAATTTCAACTAATCATATTTCTTGAGTATTTCAGAGCAAATAATTCTCATCTGATAAATTCTAAGAATTAACTCTGAACTAAAAGTCTGAGAATCTGCAAGTTTCCTCTGAAACTGAAAAGAATACAAAAGCTGAAAGGGAAGTATTTTATCTTTTCTGAAGTATTCATTTCAGGGGGAGTAATATTTCTTTTCTATCTTAACAAATTTTCCCATAGTTTTTGTCATCATCAAAAAAGGGGAGATTGTTAGAACACAGATTGATGTTCAATATATCTCATTCATAGTTTTGATGATAACATTAATGAAATTTTGTATAGAGAATTTATATACACTAATTCTGTTCAAGTGTTTATTTGTTTCAGATATAAAAATTAATATTATTCTGGAAGCAAGAACGCCTCTGAACACCACAGAACGAAAAAGCTCTGAGCGTCAGAAGCATCACATCAGAGGACTCTGATCTGCTACAATGACTCTGAGCAAAGCTAAGAAGAATTTGAGCAAAGAACATACGTAAAGCTTCAGAAGACTCTGAAAGTACTCAACGCTGCAAGTATAGAAGTTCTGATAAGCAAGTATGCTCTAATAAGGATTTCATGCTTAAAGCACTTTGCTGCAAACTCTGATAGAGAAACTCTGATTGAGTTAACTCTGACCTGAACAACTAAGAACATCATCAGAAGTTCTAATGCAAGACGTTCCAAAGTTGTTGAAGAAGATGTTGTTCAAATAAAGATCCGTTAGTATATTCCTTATCTTATCCTAAATGGCTCTTTCCCCATTCATGTTTGACACAGGATTTCAGACAAAAAGGATTTGTCAGAACATTCCTCTTTTGAGAAAGGAAAAGTCATTAGAAGACAAAGAGAACAGAATGCACAATCTTTGAGAAGGGATTTCAAAGTACTATAAAAGCAAGTCTAAGCATCACTTCAAAGGTTAACGAACTTGAATCAAATTCTTGACATATTATTCAACCAGCTCTCACAAATATTCTTCAAGCTAGAATAGTTTATCTTCGTTCTAAAACTTGTGTAAAAATCACTGTTGTGATATAGCTTTTTAGAAGCATTTCTTAAACACAATTTGTTAGTTTATCTTTGTAAAAGATTTCCTTAAGAAGACCAAGTTGTGGTCAGAATTTCTTGAGAAGACTAAGACAGTTGTCTTAGTGGTTTACACTGTAATCAAGTTTGATATAGTGGATTAAGTCCTTGTTGAGAAAGGAAAATCACCTTGATAGGGTGGACTGGATTAGTTTGAGTTCAAACGAATCAGGATAAAAATACTGTGTTATTTTTCTATCATCCAAATTGTTTTAAAACCCTTATTCAACCCCCCCCCCCCCTTCTAAGTGTTTGTCTCACCTTCATCCTTGAGATCCAAAGATGATTATGGTGATGAGAGAAAAAGGAAACATGCTTGTAATGTCAGATTCGAAGGAAAGGATCTTTGAGAAAATGAGAAGCTCTAGGGTTCTGTGACTGCTGAGAAAGATCCTCCCTCTAGGGTTTCATAATTTAGCTTATATATGAGGTTTTTTGATGTGATAAAACCTCAGTCACAGTGGTTAATGCTTGTGGTTAATATTTGAAAATTTTGAAGTGAGGTGAAAAGGGTGGTAAGAATGCATAACTGTGGTGATGTTTCCTTGTCATTTTATGAGGACATGAGGGTTAGGGAAAAATCAGAGTGAATTGGTGGAGAGAGCACCCTTGTCAAGAAAGTTTGTATGTTTCCTTTCTTTGGCAAAAATATTCAAAAATTGTACACATGGTACATGGGAGTGTTTGGCTAGAAAAGACAAGGTTTAGTAAGGATATAAATAATGAATCATGCACATGAAGATGTCCATATCATTTTCTGAATGAAAAAAATTCATGACATGCATGAAAGATCATAAAAATGTGCATGAGGACCAAACCATGGAGCTTACTTTGGATGGCTCTAACTTGTAGGATTTTGATCCAAATTGCTAGAGCTTTGGCTCAATGAAAAATAGGGAATTTAGGGAACAAATTTCATGTTTGAATCACCTTTAAACAATGCTTGGATGATTGAGAATGCTCTACAACTTTCACGCTTTAAGTAAATTGAGATGATATTTGGATCATGATGAAAGAATGCCATGAAAAGTCACCCTCCATGTTGAAAATCTATACTTAGAAAAATTTCTAAGTACAAACTTCCAAAATCTAGTTTTCCTTAACTTTAAGCCTCTATACCTTGAAACCTATGAATATTTTGGACATATTTTCTTCTTCAAATTTGTAGTACATGATGTCCTCTTTAATTTGATAGAAGTTTTGCTCCATTTGGATCAAGGATGAAAAAGTCATGGATGTTGCAAGATGGCTAGAAACTGGGATTTTCACACTTAGAAACTTTTTCAACAAAACCCTAATCCTCTAAAACTCTTGATTTCATGTTTCTCCTTGGTCTTTCTTGATCCAAATACATAACAACACTTGAGAGGGCAAGACATGCTCATAGTTGACCTCAAAAACCAAAAGTTTGACTTTGTGAAGGCACAATTGACTTTCTTGACCAGATGAATCCTCACCTCTCCCATTCATTTAGGAAATCCTTGAAATGAGTTGTGTTGAATCAAAAGGCATCTTAGGAACCTTTGAAGTATATGAGGATTTGTTTGGTTAATCTTTCCTTCAAATCTAGAGTTATCAAAACTTTCCCTTTCTTGTACAAAACCCTAATTTCACAAAAGAAACAAAACCACAAGGCTTGATAATTTGGTTAACTATGCAAAGATGATTGACCTATGATGCTCATGCAAATGATGATGACATATAAGGGGGTAAAATTTGGGGTATGAAACAATTCAAGAACAAGGGGGAATAAAACCTAGAATAAAAGTGAATCTAGTTCTTCCCACATTTATGAACTGTCCTTACTAAGTGAAAGATATCTTATCAATCACTTCCCTTGCCCGTAATACTTAAGTGCTTCATTTTCCTAGAAAAATCATGATCACCTCATATCCAATTCAAGAACATACTAAAGCTTCTGGATCATTCTGCTGACTAATGATCCTTAAGTAATCTCGAAGCAGGAGATCCATTCCTCCAATGCATCCAACGTCCCTTCGCATTCTACGCCTTAGTTAGCAAGTTAGTTATTTAACTCTTCTTCTATATATACGGATGACGCTATTCCAAATAATATTTTTCATACATAATTCGAATACTTTCTCATCACACACAAACATACTTGAACGTTTGAGTATTAATCTTGCAGGTAAATCCCTGCTCTATTGCATCAGAAGCTCTCCTCCACTATAACTTTCGTGACCGCACATATTTCTGATTCTGTTACGAAACTCAATTTTTTAAAAATCAATTTTTCAAAATTGATCTTTGAAAAATTTAAGCACATTTTTAAAAACACTTTTTAGATATTTTTCTGATATTTATCATAAGATATTTTATAAAATTTGCAAATAATAAAAAATATATTTAAAAATAAATATCTCTATAATAAATAATATAATAGAATAGCGATAATAATTTGTATTTTGTAATTATAAATTTAATAAATGCATTATTATAAAAAGACTCATTATTACAAAAAAAAACTATATTACACCATGAATAAATCAATATGAAAAGCGAGTTTATAACTAAAGATAGATGAAGTAAAATAAATAAAAGGCAGCCCAAAAAAGGTTACATTTTTTAAAAATAAAAACAAATTAATTAATTTTGGCGGTTTTTTTTTTTTTAACATTATGCACACCTCATCATCCATTTTGAAACTTATCCCAGAAGCTTTGAAATTAAAAAAAAAAAAGAGTAGTACACCAGTCACTACTAGTGTTTAAGCTCCCAGTTTCTGTTTCGCTTTCAAAAGTTTATTTTCTTCTTCTCCGGTGCCGGAAAACCTAATTCTCGATGAGAAAATCCATCCGACTATCATCCGTCGGCCTCGGCCAAGCTGCAGAACCGGTACGTCTCTTTTCTCCTTCCTTTCCTCTCTCATTTACTTGCTTTGTTTCCACATTGCCGGCGTGGTTTATGCTTTTCCGGCATAATCCGCCTCCGCCGCCGTAGTAGAGCTATTTTCGGCTGCTCAGGTTAATTGACTTATCGGATTCCGCTAATTGCGACTGACCTAGCAGTTTGAGCTGGAGCAAGCGGAATTGACGGACTACTAGGAGTTTCCGGCTACCTATAACCGCTGGTAGAGTTCGTTATGAGGTGGATTAGAGTTGGTTTAAGAATTTACGATTTTAGTGTAATTTAATGTGTTTCACGGTGAAAGGGAAAATTTTTTAAATTGTTGAAGCTTAAATTTTGACTTCAGCACTTGTAGACTGTAATTTAGAATTGAAGGTTTTAAATAACTGTCGCGTTGCGGTAGCGTAAAGACTTCTGTGATTTTGGTCGGTACGTTCAGGTGTTGCGATACTGATTGCGATTGCGGTCATCGCGGTGTGAATTAACCATAATTTCTTCTTTAACATAAAAACGGTGAATAGCTGCCGATACTGTTTTGTTGCTGCTGTTTACAGTTTTTTAAAACCTTGGAGTTGAATACACTGAAAAGAGAATTGAGTTACACTTTCAATTTTTATTTTTCATTTTTCAGGCGGTGAAGAATTTCAGTACTCGTTTTTCTCTCACGCCGCTTGCAAAGCGTGTTCAGAGTCTAACGGATGGGCAAAGATTGGCAATCTCGCGAACGGGATTTGGTAGTTTGCTATTGGTTCCGAATCATTCACTTAACAAGGTTTTCCTTACAGAGGTAATGGAGGCTTGGAATTCTGAGTTGCGAGTTTTTGAGATGGGTTCTGGGGAGATTGGGTTTAGTTTGTTGGATGTTGCTTTGATTTTGGGGCTTCCGGTGGTGGGACACCGTGTGGAGCTGAGTGATGATGAATTGTTTTCTGAATTGGAAGAGGAGTACGGGGCTTCACGTGCAAAGAGAAAGGTAGCTATGGCTAGTCTTGAAGCGAGGCTTGATTCTATTGGGGAAGTTGTGAGTGATGATTTTGTGAGGAGCTTTTTGCTTTATACCATTGGGACTTTCCTTTCTTCCAATGATGGGAAAGTGGATTCACGGTACTTGTCTTTTCTTGGGAATTTAGATGGGGTTTCTAGTTTTGCTTGGGGTGCTGCTGTTGTTGAAGATTTGTGTCAGTGGCTTGATAAGAGGAAAGACAACAATGTACAATATGTTGGTGGTTGTCTCATATTTCTCCAAGTAAGTTTAATAACTCATTCATGTTATAATTATCATGTCATATATATGTTATAATTATATTAAGTATCTTAGCATTGAAGCCATATATGTTAGCATACGGGTGTCTGATACCGATTCAAAGAGTGTCATACGGGGGTGTCTGATACCGACTCAAAGAGTGTCATACGGGTGTCAGCCACCGATTCAAATAGTGTCGAAGAAAAAAAAATTATTCTTGGAGACACTTGTTGACTTTTCCGACACTTATGTGACTTTTCTGACTCTTCGTACATGTGTCATAGTCATACAAGTGTTGGACACTGCGACACGCCTACTCTTAGAAGTGTTTGTTTCTTAGAACATTGTATGAAATTATTAATAGTACAAGAATGATAAATCTTTTATCAATATTAGTCAATTCTCTTATGTATAGTATGTCTTGTAAATTGTAACATCAAATAATTTAAATTTTAAACTTTATTAATACGGTCACTTTTTTGTTTAAGAGAAGTCAAATCTTATTTTCTATTTGTCTAAGATGGTAATATGATTTTCCAACTATTGATTGGTATCGATTTAGTTCAGAAAATGTCTTAACTGGATTAAAGTTGATTGATTTTATTGTTATCAATTGTTCTCAACAACTAAATCTATGTCAATCCAATCTTTCAGCCTCTGAAGTTATATTGAATATAAAGAGCTGTGTTATCTTAAAAAAAAGTGTGTATGGAAGCAATTTATTCGTTGCTCAGTAGACTTAATGTGAATTATTTTTTGATAAGTTAAAAATATAGCAGCAATGTTTGTGAAGTGTCTAATTTGTAAATGCTTTTGTTGATCGGTTGATTTTTTATCCACGCTATTTGGTGGAACAGACATGGTCCTACGAGCACTTTGATATGGCACGGCCAAATTTGCTAGATGAAGATAGAACTTTTCCTCGTGTGTGTCGATGGGATCACAGTAAATCTCACCCAAGGCAGCGGGGTACTTCAAGGTTTAAGGATCTACATGATGACCAGGTAACTTGGAAACTTGCTTATACATCTGTTGAATTATCAGTTTAAAGGTTCATCGGTGAGAAGATATCTCTTGTCCTGGTCTGTTTCCATTTTAATGCTATGTTATGCCCTTAATAAACAATCTAATGGTTTAAACTAGAAAAGTGCTTTCACTTTTCATTTTCAAGTCCTTTAGGATTTAGTCTGAATCTGCAGCTAATATATATGGTCTTGAAATAATGGTTTCATAACATGCATTGTTATTATTATGTATGTCTTACTAAAGGTTCCTCGCTGTAAAGTAAGAGGATCGAAAAGTGGATTGTAATTCTTTTGTATATTATGATGTCTTACTCTTATCTATGTATATTTGCAGATAATTTATAAACTTCAACCTACGTCTCAAGAGTTACAAATAGACATAATAAAAGAAGCAATGGAGTTACTAGGTGACAGCAAGGTTAAAAGGGATGGAAATTATTCAGCAAGCACATCAAGTAATGTGAGTTGCAATTTATTGCTTTTTTTGAAGTTTAAATATATCAATCTTCTACCATTTTGGCTGCTTCAATTGCAATGCCATGCTTCTATAGGAATGTGGTTGTTCGTTTTCATTTCATTTTCACTTTTGATTGAGAGGTTGACATGGACAGCTTTCAGAGGAAGATGAAGAGATACAGCTTAGTAGCTCTAGTAAAATATATACAGAAGACGGGATTAATTTTGAGAATCAGGTAGTAGCGGACACTCCCACACGGTTGGCCACTTACGATGAAGAGTATAGAGAACAGAAAATCAATATTGAATATCTGATAATCGAGGACACCCCTGATGAAGAGTATAGAGAACAGAAAATCAATATTGAAAATCTGATAATCTTGGATACCCCCTCGGATTCGAGCAATCCTGTTAAATTAGGCAGAGAGGAACAGTTCCAATTTCAAAAACTAATGATGGAGGACTCTTTCACAAATTTGAGCATATCTGATTCTGAGGACGGAAGTAGAGAAGATGGGTTGAACACTGAAAGTCACATAATCGAGGACACAACCACAAATTTGAGTATTGGGGGCGAAGTAGGAAAAGAGCAAGACTTGATTGCTGAAACTCTCATAGTGGACGACACTCCACCTAAGTTCAGCTCTGACGATGTGAGATTTTATTCTGTCTTATATCCTTTAGTTTTGTAAAGTTGTCACACAAATCACACACATAATACGCCCGCACAATGGATCGGCACAATATAAAAGTAACTTCTTTGATTGACAGGTTGATTTAAGGAAGAAAAACATCATGTTAGAAGAGGAAATTACCGAATTGAAGCTGAAAATAAGCCAACAAATGGAAGAAATTGGAGTTCTCCGTAGAGAGAATTTATCAAATGCACAATTAAAAGCGGAGAACGATGAGTTGAAACAAGAGTTGGACATCTTGAAAAGCAATTTAAATGGCTTTGCAGACCAAACAGAGAGAGGTATCATGGAATTCCTTTCTGATGCAATTGAATAAAATGGTATCCTTGAATTTGAGCAGGCTACTAGGTTGCTGTATATAATATCATATGTTTGTTAGGGGTTGTGTGTTAGGACTAGGAGGTTCTTTTCAGGTTTCTTTGAGCAGGTTTCTTTTTATGTGAAGCCGTGAAATTCATTCCAGGTAATCTCATACCTATTTATTTTTATCTCTTGTACAATATGTAACAGATAGGTCATGTACTCCAATGTCCAAATGCAAGGATTGGAGTTCAAATTATATATAGTTACCTAGTTCTTATCACGAGGAATAGGACTATTATCCTTTTTTTTTCCTAATGAAGTTTACTAATTTTCCTTTAGTTGTTGTATATATATATTATAATTACCTTTTTCCGTATCTTATTGTTATGTTTTTCCATTTTAGCTGAAAGCCACTGCTTAATTTCATGGAAAATGGGTAAAGTCAGTGAATTATGTTGTAAGGATAGTAGATCAGATGGAGAGGGGTTATGCAACTATTAAGAAAAATCTCGAAGATTAACGAATTGAATAAAAATACGGTCTTAAATAGAATATTATGGCAGTAGTTGATTCATGTAACTGACCTCACTTAACCTATGTTTGATATTACACCAAATCCATAGACACTGAAGCTATCATTTGTTGCTTCATGAAAGCACGGTGCATATAGGCTCGGTTGTTGTAGTTGTTGGGCAAAAGCAGGAAATTAATCATAAAAAAGTATCTTTACTTATTGCACGATTCAATTTGAATCTATGAATAAGCTTATAAAATAGCTTATGTTTTGTTTTGTTTTGAAGTGACATATATGTTTGAGAATTTCATACCATTTGATTTGCGACTTAGATAGTCTATAGTATCCAAGTCCATTTGACCGCAATCTATTTGGGTGATTTGTGTGGGTGCTTCTCTTTTTTAGCCATTGTTATATTGGTAAGAGTAAATAAAGAAATGAAGGAACTGGCTTTTTTTTTTTATTTGGAGAAAGTGGACTTGAGTTTCTTAAGTAGTCTCGTGATTTGATTTTGATATTAAGTTTTCAAGACAAGAGGACATGTAGCGTCTTTGTTTCCCTGGTGAAAAGGTGTCCATAAGGCGTATTCAAGTAGAAGTTATTAAAAATCAATAATTTTGAATGTGTTTGAAAATAATAAAAAAATATTAAAGTGAAGATTAATTTTTGAATTCAGAAATATGAAGCACTTGTGAAGTGTTGTAGTTGATTTGAATTTAGAAATAGACAACTCATAAAATATTGTAGTACGTTTGAATTTAGAAATAGACAACACATAAAGTGTTGCAGCAGTATGTTTGAATTTAGAAACAAGTAATACTTTATGAAGTGTTGTAGAATGCGAAACAGTAACATTTGAAAACTGATATTGTAGGTGAAACATTGCAACATTTAGTAAATGTGTTGTTGTAGGCGAAACATTGTAACGTTTGAAAAGTGCGGATGTAGACAAAATAATGCAACACTTTGAAAAAGTGTTGATAAAAGTATGTGTTTCATCAAAGGTCGCTATCTTATGAAACAACACTACTTTGGCCTATAAATTAAGCATTTTGAATTCAGAAAAATACATGAGAAAAGTCTATCCTCTTCACACAAAATTCTGGACTTTATCTTCCTTACATTTGAGTTTTCAACGGTCTTGTGCAAACTTGAGTATAGACTGAATTATCCTGGGTATTCCCGCGTAGGAACTACAAGACAATTTGAGAGTGCTTGGAATACTATAAAGACAATAATTCATTTATGATTCTAGCCTCGGTCCATTTGATTGTAATTTAATTTTCTAACAATCTTATAGTATTTTAAATAATGGTACCTGTGGCTTTTGCAAATTGCGTTTTTACGGGTGATGCTTTAATCAAGAAATTAAAAAAAAAATTCTTGAGAAAGGAATGAACAAAACAAATGAGTAAAAAAGAAGCACAAAGAAGGAAGGTTACTTGTTTTGAATGCAGAGAAATAAGATATGTTAAAAATAAATGTCCTACATTTCAAAAGAAGAATGAATTTAAGAGCAAGAAGAACAAAAGACATAAAAACTTATTTTTAAAAAAACTGCAACACTTTTTAAGTCTGATCCGTTGCACTTTTTATGTCAGGTCTAGTTAAAAGACTTAACAAAATCTGCTGCTGTTTGAAATTTAAAAGATTGTTTGATATTCAAAATTCATCCTGCACTTATTAATTAAATCGGATTTTCGTTTAAACGACTTAACAAATTTTGAACAGAATTCAAAATCATATCTTTTCATGAACCATTGCATTCTAAACTATTGACCTTCATGAAAAATATCTCAAACTTTTGCATCAATTCCTATAAGTTTCTTAGGATGTATTTAAGACAAAATACATTAGTTTTTAAATTACCTCTTTCATTATTAATTTTTCACATCAATTCAAATAATTTTCTAAGTGTTCATTCTTTTAAAAAAATGTTAAAACTTTGTGCATAACTTTAAAATCATTCATAAAAGTTTTATAATATTTCTTGAGCACTTAAGGTTAATATATTATTGAATTGTAAATTGAAAGAGAAGATCAATTGTCTATTGAAATTGATTCACAAACAACTTCATATAATCAAATTTGTTCAAGTATTGTAATTGATCACCATTTGCGTGGTGACTTAATTTGTAAAAAAAATGTGTGTACTTTCTAAAAATATTTGCAAATAGAAAGTGATATATTTTATATTTGTTGAAGAAAAGTCATTTGAATTGATTTGATTTAAAGTCCAATATAGTTGTTGGTGTATTCAAGAAAGTAGTGGCTTCAAAGGACTCTTTGTTTTAGAAGGATGTTATCCAAGATGAAATGAATTCAATAATGTCAAACCACACTTGACAACTTGGCGATCTAACTAAAAGATCAAGACCCATTGGATGCAAGTGGTGTTTAGAAGGAAATATCATAATGATGGTACACTATGTTAGAACAAGATTTGTTCGAGACATATATTCCTTGGGTTTTAATGATAACAAAGTATTAAAAGAACAATGGTTATTTTTGGTATGTGTTTCATGTATGCAGATTATAATACTTATATATATATATATATATATATATATATATATATATATATATATATATATATATATATATATATATATATATATATATATATATATATATATATATATATATATATATATATATATATATATATATATATATATATATATATATATATATATATATATATATATATATATATATATATATATATATATATATATATATATATATATATATATATATATATATATATATATATATATATATATATATATATATATATATATATATATATATATTCATAATCTGATATACAAGGGCACACTTCAGGGAAGCTGAATTGCTAGCTTCTGGTGGTGCATAATTTGAAGAATACTCTCTAAGTGATGTCTGATGTAGACTTTGAAGCTGAAGGTCTCAGTATCAGAAGAAGCAACATAATTGTCTCTAATCTTGGTGAATATAAATTGACTTCTGGTGATCATTCAGAGTTAGTGATAAAGCTGAAGCTTTATGTACTGCAGAAAGCAAGCTGCATGGTCAAATCAGTTTGTCAGTTAGAGTCTTAGTTCACAAGGCTCAAGAAAAGTTGGCATGCTTTACAAATATCTACTCTCAATGATTCTTTAGTATAGGATATCTTTGAAGATTCAATGGTTAAACACGTTACACAGTGGATCAAAATCTTTTGGAGTATCTATCTTCAACGTCTCTTATACTATGAAGAAAGCAAAGACACTTGATCAAGTTATCTCTCTAACGGCTAGTCTTTTGCAAATGCTATATAAGTAGCTGAAGGTTCAAACTGAATTTTTAACAAGGATCAACCTGATAGAGGAGTAACAAGATCAACAATCATCAACACAACCGAGTATGCAAAATTTCTTTTGTAGGTTGTAATTGTAAAAGCCTTAAGATTTCTTAAACATTGAATATCTTAGAAATCTTAAGAGCTTTAGGTCGTTGTTATAGTGATTTCTATGTACCTCTGATATTTGTATCAAGTACACCTTGTTCTCTATTCTACTGAACATGTTATTTAGCAGTTTACATAAAGTCTCTCACCAAGATGCATGAGCCATGTAAGTCTCCTGCTATGTGCTAGAGCATTGAAAGTATTAATCAAGTGGATTGATTGAGCAATTAAGTCTCTCGCCAAGATGCTTGAGCCATGTAAGTCTCTTGCTAGGTGCTAGAGCAATTTACATAAAGTCTTTCACCAAGATGCATGAGCCATGTAAGTCTCCTGCTATGTGCTAGAGCATTGGAAGTCTTAATCAAGTGGATTGATTGAGCAACTAAGTCTCTCGCCAAGATGCTTGAGCCATGTAAGTCTCCTACTATGTGCTAGAGAAATGAAAGTCTTAATCAAGTGGATTGATTGAAAAGAAGTCATGAATCCGTGGGATTTAAGCAAGGAAGTCTCGGTTCGAGGGTTTAAGCGGAAGTCTTGAACCTGAGGGGTTTAAGCAGGAAGTCTTGGGTTTGTGGAATCTGAGTAGGGAAGTCTTGGACAGTGGATCTGGGAAAGTAGTCTAGGGCTTGAAGGGCTTAAGCAGGAAGTCTCGGGTCTGAGGGACCTGAGAAGGAAAGTCTTAGGCTGAGGGTCTAAGCAAGAAAGTCTTGAGTCTGCAGGACTTGAGAAAAGAAGTCTTACGCCTTAGGGGTTTAAGCAATAAGTATCAGACTTAGGGTCTGAGCATTGTAAAAGTCTCATGCAGAATTTATAAGCGATTGTAATCATGATTTGATTATAGTGAAAATCTCTTGTGAAGCAAGGGGACTGGACTACTCTCTCTTGGGAGGAACCAATATAAATCTTTTTGTCTTATGCAATTATTTATTTGCTTTTGTTAACATTTAGCTACTAAGTATAACTAGAATCTAAACACCAGTTTAGATTCTAAACTCTGACCAGACACAAATTAAGAAAACGGAAAATACAATTCAATCCCTCTTCTTGTGTATCTTTCTCACCTTCA